TGTCCCCCCAACTGCTTCGTGTATACATTAAAAACCACTGGGAATGGTAGTGGTTTTCTTTTTTAGATAAGGATGCTGTAACCTGTTTCCAGTTCACCTCTTCCCTTGGGATGCTCTTGTTTTTTCATATTAAAAATGTAAGTTTGTCAATGTTCCTTATATCCTGAATTTTTGTCAGCCATTCGTCTTCTTCTGGGGTTTCTTCCTTTTTCTATTTTTTTTATTTTTTGCATAGGAAATTTTTGCCGCTGCTGTTAAAAGGAACAGCAATTTATCTGTATTCCTATCTAATTTTAAGGTATGTATTCCAAGTAGAAATGTTTCTGGTTTTCTGGAGATTTCCATTTCTAATATTTCTTGTATATTTTTCTGGATCTTCTTCCAGTTTTTATTTTGTTTGTTTGTTTGTTTTGGGGGGGGGGGTTGTTGCTTTACTACATGTCCACCATAAATGGTAATATGTTCCTTCTGCTTCACTGCATTTCCAGTATTTTGAATTGATATTCTTATACTATTTCCCCAACTTATGTGGTGTCATGTACCACCTGTGGGCCATCTTTAACCAGTTTTCTTTTAATTCCATAGCACTAGTATATCTTAATTTTTTGTTTCAGTTTACCAGCTGTTAGGATTTCTGGGAGTTGAAGGACAAACATCTGGGGAATAACAGGTTGAGGACCACTGCTTTAGAAGAATTAGTATATAATATTGAATATAATATAATCTGATGTGATGGGGTTTAAAGTTATTTCTGCTGAAATTTTAAAAGTTTTTTTATTGAAAGACATATATTGGATTAGTATGTGTTTTGTGGCCAAATTTGGTGACATTTAGTCCAGTGGTTTTGTTGTTTACTTTGTCCTACAAACAAACAGAGAATAAAACCAGAAATCCCCACAATGGATGTACAATGAACGCTACCATTATGTGAAATGTTTATCAGTAAAATTACCACAAAGTGACTTCTCATGTCAGAAACTAATGTGTGAATTCACACTGAATTAGTAATAGATCAGAAGAGAGATAATCAACTGATGCTCAGTTCAAACACAGGTACCACTAGCAGATGGTTTGTCTGACAGGAGGTGTCATTGTGTGTGTTCTGAATAGGATGATCCTCCATTTAAAGAAACCACATATGCATTTTGTTGTGCTGTCAAATCTGTCTTCTCCTGTGGAGCATCTGTGTCACGTATCTTTCTTTAGTCAAGGACTTTGCACAGATCGAGATTCTAGTGCAATGAGAGTGTCACCAGGCATTGAGCTGGGTAGTTAAAATCACTAAAACCTTATCATTTGAATGAGTTATAGCTTTTAAGAGTTCAGAATATCATTTCCTTGTTTTTATATAGAGAGAGATAGTTTGAGATTCTCTACTTTTCCATTCATTTCTATTTTATTGATTCTTGTTTTATAATTGTCTGAAAGTCATTCAAACTGAAGAGTGGGTGCTGAAATATCGTAAAGAAAGTTAGCTTTTAGCCCAGGCTTCTGGGAGGCTTTCTTGCCCCCACACTGGTTATATCCTACAGGTGCCTTAGCTAATAAAAAATGCTGTCCTTTACTTGATGGTATCCTCTCTTCATGGTATCATCCAATCAATGTCTAGTTGAAAGGTTTTTTTTAAAAAAATGTAAAAAGAACAAAGATCCTGAAGCTGCCCATCAATAATCGTCATCTGGACAGCAGCCTGAACAGGTAAGCATGTTTCTGTTTAAAAGAAAATTACAGTTGACCCTCCATATTCATGGATTCTGCATCCACAATCATCCAAGACTGAAAATATTCAAAAACAACATTCCAAAAAACAAACCTTGATCTTGCCATTTTACCTAAAGGACACTACTTTACTATGTGTATTGTAGGAATTGGGACTTGAACACTCACTGATTTTGATGTCCACAGAGGATCCTGAAACCAAGCCCCAGAGGATATCAAGAGCCCACTATATTGTATTTCTCTTCAAATTTCTTTTCAGCTTATAGCCTTTGGCTGGCACTCTGTTAGCTGGTTATTGTGTCATAATGACCTCATAATTGTTTCTTAGTCACATGTACAAGCATGGTCCTATTGCCATGGTTATAAATACTGCCCAAACCCACTTTAATACCCATGGAGAACTGGATCAAGATAGCACATAGGTGGTATATGACCCCACAAAATTAGGGAAAAGTTACAAAAAACATAAATACAAAATGTTGGAAATGTGGGAAGGTGGAAGTGTCATATTTCCACATGTGGTGGTTGTGGGAGAAATCAAAAATCTACTAGAAAAATATACAAGCCAAATTACAATAAATCTTAAAGATAAAAATCCCTCTAAAACCAGAGATATTCTTGTTGGGTTTAACAGATCAGATTTTAGACAAAAATACAAACAAACTCCTATTCCTTCTAAATATAGCAGCAAGAATTTGTTACACAAGAGTATGGAAAAAAGAAAAGATACCGGACGAAGAAGAATGGTTGGAGAAAATTGCTGGCATCAGAAATATGGACAGATTGACATACCTAATATCAAAAAATAAAGGAATCCCGATAAATGAAACAAATTGGTCAAAAGTAATGGAATGTCTGAAACAAAATATATAAATATATGGATATAGAAAGAAGAGGGGGGGATAAAAACAGAAGAAATAAAGATATAACAAAAGAAAAGGAAGTACTCACATGGACAGCACTCAGGAAGTCAACAAGGTTATATATATATATATATTCTACTACCTCTTTTTTACTTTCTCTCTCTCTCTTTCTCTTTTCAGCTCTTCCATTTGTTATAATTTTTTCTTTGTTTCTATGTTGAGTTTGTTTTATATATATATATGTATTTATTTCATATTGTTCTTAAGGAAAATTCTCAATAAAAATTATTTTAAAAATAAATAAATAAACCCCATGGAGCTTTGTGGTAGTAGTGGTGAATAGAGCTTTGAAGGATACCACATCCAGCCCCTTCCTGCCAGTGAGTGGTGACACTCTGAGAAGTTGTGACCTGACTACATGGGGGTCCCTCCCTCTGGTCAGTGCACTGCAACTTGTTGACAGGAGTGGGCTGATCATAGGATCTTTCAATGTACAACTCACCAGACCTACAGAACTCCATTTGTGATTAAAAAATTTAAGCCTGGGGTCAGATCAGGACATGGATCATAATCACAACTTTATGGCTATGTATCGGCTGCAGGATCTCAGGCTTTATTTATAGATATTCAAAACTGAGCAGAAATGGGATGTGCATATATTGTGCAAATCTGACTCATCCTTTTGCCCTCAGTGTTTCAGTGACTTTATATTTTCCAGTAATGTTACCATAGGGCATCATGATGTCATGGACATTTGGGGTAAAATGTTGTTTAAATTACTATACATATCAACACAAGTTGGTAATGTATGCACTAGATATTAGAGGTAATTAGATAAGGAGCTGTTGGGAGGGATGAGAGACTGGAATCTTGAGAGTGAGGGTGGAATATCTGAATAAGGTTCATGAATTACAGTTGATAAACTCAGAATAGTTAGAAACAGGTAAGATGTAATGTGACTAATGGGGTTTAGAGCATCAGGCAAGTTTAGAAATTCATGAATGGAACATGCAAGAGAGTGAGAACTGTGTCCTAAATGTATTGAAAAGTTTGTCTCTTTTGTTATATTCAACTTCTGTTAACAAAAGATTGTCTTTGTATTCATATACTTTTGGCCTTCAGAAACACTACGTATTATAGCTTGGATTCAGTTGATACCATATATAAGAAGGAGTCAGACATAGCAACAGCTGTGAATAAAGAGAGGTGGTGTCCAGTGGGGTTGAATGAAAAATAATGCCCCTACCTTCGTTACTTGAGTTTGGATTGGAATATTTTAATAAATCAAATGCAGAAATAATCCTTAGAATGTGCTCTTTAACTACCACTATTCACTTTTCCACATGCCCTCAAAGTGACATTTGAGATGCTATGAAACATATGAGGGTTGAATGAAAAGTAATGCCCCCACCTTTGTAAGTCCTCAACAGATGGCAGTATTGGTATGCGGCAGGTACTGGCTTGTTCAGTAGACTCTCTTCTACAGTTCTATTTGGGTGGGAAGCCTTAGCATTGAACAGTTGTGTTGTTAAAGTGCAAAGTATGGAACCCTGCGCAGACGGTCGGTCAATGCGACTTAAGCAACATGTAGTCATTAAATGGGTTGTTGTAGGTTTTTTGGGCTGTATGGCCATATTCTAGAGGCATTATCTCCTGACGTTTCGCCTGCATCTATGGCAAGCATCCTCAGAGGTAGTGAGGTAGTCAGTCATTGAATTCTTGACAGCAGAAATGAGAAAGAGGGAGAAAGGGAGGAGGGAGGAAAGAGGGAAGGAAGGAAAGACAAAGGGGAAGGAAGGAGGAAGGAAAGAGAGCAGGAAGGAAGAAGAAGAAGAAAGGGAGGAAGATTAGAATGGATGGAAGGGAGGGAGGGAGGGAAGGATGGAAGGAGAAAGGGAGAGAGGGAAGGAGAGAGGAAAGAGGGAAAGAGTGGCCACAGAAGTAGTACATGAGTTCATCCTTAGGTTCATGGCAGAGAACAAGAGAAATTCTTGGAAGTCTTCATCTTTGGTGGTAGTGGAGGCTTATGGCAGAAGAACTAAGTGATACATACACATAGCTATCCTACACAACTCAATTTTGAATTCTGAAGAGCTTTGGACTGTTATCTGGTCCAACTTAATTTACCTCCTTTGGTAAGCAGATCCCTTCCCTCCACTTTTTTCCCCCAATGACTCTTGAAAAGCAAAAACACCCTTGCAGATTACATTTGCATTGAACAAAATAATTCATTTCTTTAGCATAGGACTGAGGAGCTTGAACTGGGTCGGGCAGATATCCGATAGCAGTTTCTCACTATGTAAGGGTGAATGAAAACAGAGCCAGATAGGACCAGTTCCCATAACAATTCTTAGACAGAATTACATCTGTGTTTTGTGAAGCCCTGGGCTTTTTGAAAAAGCATATTTCTGAAAATACCTCTTTCCAGCTTATTGTTTCCAGAGCTCCAGGTAGATTGATCCCCGTGTTACTTGGCTGCCTGGGTCATTTCTGGAAGGGTTTTCATGGACTGCAACATTTATATCAGTTTGAGAAGTATACACCTCTTGGGGGACTGACAAACATAAAAAGAAACAAATACGGAAATAATGTAAAGCTTAGAAGTAACATGTTCCAAACAGAACAGTGTGTAATTTTTTTGAGTAATAAGGGGACAACAATGTTCTTTTTCCCTCCATTTAACACCGGTACTGGGACATTTGGGATTTCTGTACACATTTTACAATCAGGTGGGCAAATTACCCAACATCCTATTTTAAGGCTCTTTTCAACATCAAACACCAGTTAAAATATGTACAAGTAGCTTTCAAATGTGCCACTCAGAAATAGCAAGTAGCAGTAACACTCATTTTGTGAAATGAACAACTAAACCTAACACATTACAGTTTTTGAACAACATTTCAAGCCCTCGGGTAATCTGTCATCTTCCAGTTTAAATGAAAACTGTTGACACTTCTCACTGTGACCTTCGTGGGGCTCTCGGGACCTTAATTGGGTGGTTGTGCATCAAAGCTAATGGCACTCTTTAGGTTTTGAGAGAGAGAGAATGGAAACCTAATCTGGCCCCATGATATGCTCTCCCAGCCTTTTCTTGGAACTCAGCTCTATCACAAAAATCCAACAACTGCGGAATCTGAGAACACTCAATTTCTAGATTCTGTGGCATGGTATACTTTTCAGATCAAACAATGTGGAGTCCAGTGTAATCCCAAATCAATCAATTTCATGGCACAGAAGTTCCATTTGGGAAATATCAGAATTCTTTCAATGGAGTGGGGAGGATGACCATTCACCTGCTGTTTGTCTCAATGAGGATATTGCAAGACAAATGTATTCTCTGCTTTTCCAGTGAGTTCAAACAGCTATTTAACTAGGCAATGAACTTGCCTGCATCATTTATTAATATGGGTGGTCAGACATTTGCCCCCTCGTTTTAACTAGATGAACTTGGAGAATGTCTGCTGGAAGCCCCACATTAATATGATATAAGATGATGATGATGATGGTGATAAAATGAACACATCAAACTACTCTGGGACTTCCAAATTCAGACAGACAGAGTTTTGGAGCACAATACTCCTGACCTCACGATCGTGTTAAAAAACAAAGTATGGATTGTCGATGTTGTAATCCCAGGTGACAGCAGGATTGAAGAGAAACAACTGGAAAAGCTGGCACGATATGAGGATTTAAAGATCGAATGGCAAAGACTCTGGAAAAAGCCAGTCAAGGTGGTCCCAGTGGTGATCAGCACACTGGGTGCAGTGCCTAAAGACCTTGGCCTGCACTTAAACACAATCGGAGCTGACAAAATTACCATCTGCCAGCTGCAGAAGGCCACCTTACTGGGATTTGCAGGCATTATTCGCCAATACATTACACGAAGTGTCCGAAGTGTGATCCAATACAACAATCAGCAGAGTGTCTGCCGTGGAATCATCTTGTTGTGTTTCTAATAATAATAATAATAATAATAATAATAATAATAATAATAATAATAATACAACAGCAATGACAAGAACAACAACAACAGGTGGTCCCAGTGGTAATCGGCACACTGGATGTCATGCCAAAAGATCTCCACCGGCATTTGGAAACAATAAACCCTGACAAAATCACAATCTGTCAACTGCAAAAGGCCACCTTACTTGGATCTGTGCGCATCATTCAAAAATACATCACACAGGCCTAGATGTTTGGGAAGTGTTCGACTTGTGATTTTGTGATACGAAATCCAGCATATATATCTCGTTTGCTGTGACATACTTTGTTTTTGGATAATAATAATAATAATAATAATAATAATAATAATAATAATAGGTCCTTTCCAAATTAGTGGCTTATCTAAATGTGCCAAGAAAGCTCAGATTCAAGCTGGAAGCAGAACTCAAGACATTTGTTGCACACCGACCTGGCTATACAATGAATTTTTCTGATTCAAATATTCTCTTCTAATTAATCTTAAATTTCAGTATAGTGTATGACATAGTATAACTACAACAGTGACAGAATGTGAAAGGCTTTAATAAAAAAATACTTTTCATGTCTGATTAAAGCAAATGCTCCTGAAGTGTGTGAAGAAGAAAGACAAGGTGTTACCAATGTTCTCTGTGTGGTGAAGGATATTTGAAGGGCTAACAAGAATTCTCTTATGACACAGCCCAGCAGAAAGGGCGCTTGCATTACACTTCTCCCATTCATTTTCAGCAATGATTTCATGGTGAAATTAGCTCTGCATGTGCATCCAGATTCAAATTGCAAAATCTGAATTAATCCTTTGAAATATCTGTTAAATACATGGTTCTCCATAATAGCCAATTTAGCACTCAGGTGCATTCAATAAAGAGGGGAGCAGAAGCTCATTCCAAAGACAAAGCAATGTGGGATCAATTAGGGATTGCTTATTGTTATTTCCAGAACACACTGGTGCACCTGAATTGGTTCCTTAAACATATTTGCCAGAAAAGGATGCAACATCACAAGAGCTGTTGTATGAGCTTCCAGCATCATGGTTAACACAGAGTGCAGTTCACATCCCTGGATTAACAGGTTGAGAGGTTTCAAAGGCTATGCATGGGCGCCAAGTGACATGTATTTCTCTATATGAGCCTGTTAAAATACTAAATACCATCTGGAGAGGGTCTTCTCTCTGTCCCACCATCTTCTCAAGCTCATTTAGTAAGAACAAGGGAGAGGTCCTTTTCGGTGGCTCTCAAAAAGACCAGGATAGCTCCATCTTTGCTTGCCCTTTCACAAGCAGGTCGAAACATACTTCTGCCATCTGCCATTTATAAAATGATGAGAGATGGGCTGGTGGGGATGGTAAAGTAGAATTCTGTGGTAGGTATAGTTTTTCAAAGTATTTTAATATTTTTATGCTTCATGACACAAAGGGTGTAACTTGCTTTTTAATTTTATACTCATATTTTAATGCAGTTGTATTGTTTTAATTTGCATTGCATTATATTTGTTGTTAGCCACCTTGAGTTCCTATATTGGAAGAAAGATGGGATAAAAATAAAGTAAGTAAGAAATAATGTGGATAATTATTAACAAGAAAATAGAAAATGGCATGTCATATCAGACCAAGGGCTACTTATTCCAAAACTCAGTTGCCATTTATATTCCAACTTTCATTCAGGATGCCCAAGGCAGTGGATATAATTTATCCTTTTCTTTAAAATTATCCCTCCAATTTCCCAATCAGGCAGGTCACATTGTGGGACAAAGACTATCCCACTGGTAAGGGCCCTACACTGAATGAGAAAGACAATTCAGTCAGGATATATGTGCTTGGATTCAGTGGGTGTACTGTGTGTGTGTGCCTTTAAGTGTCTTGTTGATGTACGCATTTTTATGAATTTCATAGGGTTGTCTTTTGTAAAAAAAATATTTGGAGACAGTTTTGCTAATTATTTCCTCTCAAATACAATCTACAGCACATGGAATTAATTGGCAATCTCCCATTCAAGTCCTAACCAGGCCCAACCCTGTTTAGCTTCCAAGATGGGATTTGGTGCCTTTAAAGTACCGTATTTACTCAAATCTAACATTCACCTTTTTTGCTAAATCACCTTGACAAAATTAGGGTGCGCCTTAGATTCATGTAATATGGTAATTTTATTGCTGATCCAAACAAATAGGGGAAAGCTGCTTCAGGAGCACCTGGACCTGCTATTTGAGGGACGTCATATCTAATTTAATTGCCAGTGCTCAATACTATGCAATCCTGGGATTTGTAGGTGAGGCATCAGCATTCCTTGGCAGAAAAAGCCCAAGATCTTGTCAAACTATATCTCCCATGACTCCTTAGCATTGAACCAAGGCAGTCAAAGAGGATTCCTTCTACAGCATAGATGCACCCCAAGGTTTTCTTTTCTATTGCTGAAAGCTTATGTGCTCTAACACTTGTTATTAAAGAAGGAACTGTAAGCAGGCAGCAACTATAATGTCCAAATTACAAAGGGTGCACCTCTTGCTGCGGTGCATTACATTTAAGCAGCAAACACTTTTTGGTCTCAGGGTTTTGAAATTTGAGGTGCACATTAGATTTGATGCTGCATTAGACTCAAGTAAATACGGGGAGCGGTCATCCCCCACTGTTTAAGGAGATCCATTGGCTGCCGTTCATTTTCCGGTCCCAATTCAAGGTGCAGGTTCTTACCTACAAAGCCCTGAATGGTTTGGGACCCGCCTACCTGCATGTCTCTTTTACCTTCCTCACTTATTCCCTGGGGATCCTCTGCCCTCTCTTGTCTTTCTTCCTTTCCACTTTCTTAGGATCTTTCGCTTCTTCCATTCCACTTTCTTATGCTCCTACAGCTTAAGTCTGTTAGTCCCTCCTAAAACTGGCCTCTCAAATAAGGCATGCACAACTTGGCAGTAGAAAGGGGCCAGTATTAAAATAGGCTAAACTTCTTCGGGCCACTCTTCCTCTCCCACTCTCCATATTCAATCTTAATTAGCTGTAACTTTTCACAGGACCACCAGTTCACTCCACCACCTTTCTCTTCCCCCTCCCATCCTTCACAGAATTAGGATGGGAGGGTTGAACCTTTACCCTCTGCTCTACTGAGAAGATTATACAACACATTTTGGGGAAGACAGAGAGCGCACAGAGAAACTGGTGAGAGTTGCAGCCTCTTCCAACCACCCAAGCCCATATATTGTGCAGATCTGTCTTAAATCAATGATACTTACAGAATTTTTGTCTTGACACCACCCTATTCATGCAATAATTTTGATGTAGCTAGGATTTTAGCTAAACCTAAAGCCTATATTGTTCATAACTTGGGGGCTGTCTGTAAGTACATTTAAAGGGGTTCTTAACAAATATCAGGTATTAATAAGCTATATTTCAAATATATAAGCTATATATATAAGCTATATTTGCTTTATCGTCTTTATACTCATATGTTGTATGTATTTTACTGTGTTGTTATTGTGTTTTGGTTTTCCTTTATTGTAATATGCTGTTGGGCTTGGCCTCATGTAAGCCGCTCCGAGTCCCCATTGGGGAGATAGTGGCAGGGTATTAA